AAAAAAAAAAAACAAAAAACAACTGAAAATAAATATATTAGCTTCCATTCCTTGGTTTGGTTGGTGGGCGGTAGGGAGCTCCAAACCAGTGTTCGATTTTAATTTTCTCGAACATCAACACTTTTTAAGTGGGGTCCAATCAAGTGCAGGTCATGAGGTTTATGAAGTGGGTGTTTCTTTTAGGTCAGCCGATGATTAATCACTCCGTCAAACCCCCTTTGAGGGTGGCAGATAGTGGATTCCCCGTTCCAAAAGAAAAATCTTTACCCATTAAAAAAATTTAATAAATATGCATCACCTTTAACTGATTCTTTTATGTGTAAAGTTTTTTTTTTTTTTTTTTTTGGAATGTGTAAAGTTTTTTTTTTTTGGAAATTTAAGGTTGATGTGTAAAGGTTAGTTTGAGATAACTTTTTCATTATTTTATTTTTAGAATCATAATTTTATATTTTATTTGAGGATTATTTTTTGTTATTTTAAAAAAATTGTGTTGAGAAGTTATTTTCTATAATAACTTTTAAAATTTTCTTTTTATAGCAGTTTTACTAAAGTTTTTTTTTTTTTTTTTTTGGAAATTTAAGGTTGATGTGTAAAGGTTAGTTTGAGATAACTTTTTCATTATTTTATTTTTAGAATCATAATTTTATATTTTATTTGAGGATTATTTTTTGTTATTTTAAAAAAATTGTGTTGAGAAGTTATTTTCTATAATAACTTTTAAAATTTTCTTTTTATAGCAGTTTTACATGGCTTCCTTCGAAATTTTTTATTACAAATCTGCCTTAAAAAATAATAAGAATATCACCGAAGCCTAAATATGATTTTTTTTGTTCGTGATATTATGTAGGAGGATTGAGGGGTAGGAGAATTTGCAGTAAAATTTATAAGAAGATAAAATAAAATAAAATTAATAAATTGTCTTAATTTTATTTGAGAATCGGCTAGAATCGATTACTACTGAAACAACATAGAATTCAAGCCAGAAAAGACCAATGAATTATGGAAAATTTATCATTTATAGTTTAGTATATTATATTATTCTATATTATAAAATATGATAAAATAGTCATATTTGACCACAATATTACGACTTGATGCTAGAAATTAACTTTGACCCAATTTAGCAGTAGCGGGATTTGAAGGGCAAATTATTGCATCCGGTCATCTAACATAGATCTGTTCGGATCTCTCTCTATCTACAGTAAAAGCGCAGGTACTGTAGTAGCTGCTACAGTATTTACGCTTTACATGCGCTTTACTGTAGACAGAGAGAGATTCGTTCGGATCTCTCTGTCAGGTGACCGGCTGCAATAATTTGCCGATTTGAAGAGCCACAAAATCATACGCGCGAAAGATGAAGGGTCACTCAAATGAAGGCTTAGGATTAAGCCACGTGAATGGCAGAATCTCAAGCGGCTTTTTAATAATACTATACATATATTGGTTGGCTCGATCTGAGTCGAACGAAAAATTATTAGGTGCAATGTGTGCAACATTCACACAAGCATTGGATACCTAGCGGTATCCAGTGGTACCGAGTGTCGGTACCTAGCTGGGTATAGTGCTTGTGCAGACGGTTCTCTCCGTCCGCACTCCGCACCTAATAATCTCTCGAGCCGAACTAGCCTAAAAAATTTAATTCTATTTCAATCTTTATAATCCAATTTGACTTGATTAAAACACCCAGGTTAAGTCTAAATGGATTGAAATATAGCACGATAAATCATTTCAAAATTATTTAGATATGATATAGATATTTGAGGCAAAATTAACATTATTTATGGCATGTCTTCATGAATTTTATGATGATGATTCACTCATACCCTTCCTTTCAAAATTTTGTGAAAGAAATAATATCATTTCCTTTAATAAAATTACATAATATCTCATCTTCGTCTATAAATATTGTTCTTACATTCATTTGATATTGCTCAAAGTCAAAGTAGGTCATTAAAGCATGATCATTCTTAATTTGTCTTTCTCCTAAGTGGAATATTTGACTACAAGGTTTTTTTTTTTTTAAACTGGAATGTCTACCCGTTGCCACCCCCATAGAGGAGGTATTTGGCGGTGTAACTAATCCATTAGCATGCTTAGTAGCAACCAGCCCCACAGGTGCTGGACCACGCACTTATTTTCTCCTCACTTAAAGAGTCACGCCGCTTTAGAGGGGAATCGAATGCGAGTTGAGGAGTTTGCAACCAGTAGAGGTGTCAATTTTGGGTCAAGGGTCGGGTTTGGGTCGAACCTGGAACTGACCCGGCATTAATCGGATCAACCCTAACCCGACCCGTTTTTACAAACGTGTCGGTTTTCTCGACCCGAACTCGACCCGCTTCGGTTCGGGTCGGGTTCGGGTCAACCTGACCCCACATGTTTCAACCAAATCCGCACCTCCATTCAAAAATTTCACATTTATTATCAATAATTTTAGGTGCTAGACTTGAATTTTAACCATAGATTTCCTCTCATCTTTTCTT